AAATAATAAACAACAACAACAATCTCTTGACACAATACTTGTATTAAGATCATTTGTTGCACCAAAAACGTTAAATGCTAGTTTAATTTTGTTATGCTTTGTTAAGCCTTTTTGCAAAATTTTACAGAATTTCGATGAAATTTCATGATTTGCTGAGCTACTCAAAAGCATAAATGTCGTAATTTTCTAGCAATCCTTCTTTAATGTGATAAACGTAAACCGCAAAAATGTCTTTACCAATATACGATATTTATGATTTTATTGTTGTTTCATCACAAATATGTCGCTGAACACACCCCACACATTAAAGTACTTTTGTTATTCGTGCGCTCTGAACTATTTTCCTATTTTATTTTGGTAATTTTATAGTTACTATACTATGTCAAGAAACATTCACTGAATTGAAGGAAAATACACGATTGAAAGTATTAGTTCCTTCTACTTTCTCCCTTTTGCCCCTTAGGGCATAGGTTGGCCCTTTTGGTAGAGTACTGTATTTCGAAGCTGGCAAGCAGGGTTCGAAGCTGTGTGATACCATAAAATACTCTACGCACTTTAAGTTGTGAGTGTATTAAAAGTATGAGAGTGAATTCCATGGGTGTACGTAGGATATATTACATAGGAAGACAAGATGAAAAAATGATATCAAAACTATAACTAGGGAAACTCAATGTTTTGTCTTTTCTGTTATCTTTTAAATTTTGGTTCGATAATCCAGGGTGGGAAAATTTCCTCCTTGCGGGGGGGGGGGGTGCTGACTGGCTGTCTTTCATGAATGCAAATACTCTCCCCCTCTCCCATCATCCGAGTGTATGAATAATTTGCGTTTGAAACAGCTGTTACATACTCTTCCTAAAAACCAATCAAATTGTGATGATATCATACTACCTAGGAAACATCAAACAACGTCAAAATGTAGTTCCGATACATTTCGTTCCACTGCAACTTTGTATTGATTGTTATTGTTACGTGCTCATCTCTATATTTGTACAAGTAAAGCTTACATTTATGCGTTATGTATTTACTACGAAAGGACCAGTACAATGTCTAAGAACAAATGTTGATCATTATTAATCAGAATGCCTCCTAATGGCACAGCGATATGTCTGCGGACTTACGACGCTATAAACCGGGTTTAGATACCCGTGGTGGGCAGAACATAGATTGCCCATTGTGTAGCTTTGTGCTTACCTTGAAACAAACTTGATAAATCAGAAAACTAAATTATAATCTCGGTTTCGAAAATAAAGTGAATGCCTCTAATGTTTAGGGAAATTTTTAAGTGTTGTTAAATAGCAGTATATTGACCAATAATAATATTCTTAATTCAAATAGCCACATATTTCATTAATTTTATGGTTTATTATATATTAAGACAACAATGTTTAACTAATGTCAATAAAGATCATTTTACCTTAATATATTACAATTACGTGATTATTTCTTTCTGTAAATGTTAGTTTAATTTCAGAAAAATATAGCCTTTAACAAGTTTTTGAAATACGTATAACCACAACCGTTATTTAGTATAAATAAAAGTCTATGTTTACGTAACAAGAAAGTATGTCCACGACACTACTTTTTGTCTTGGCAAAATTCGTACTTTTTCCAGGTATTTCTTTATGTTACGTAAAGTTAGCAATATTACTGGCAACTTGTTATACATTTTTATAGTGTATAATATTTATTCACTTAATTGACTAATTTATTTGTTATTTTTTTGTATTTATTTATGCATTAAGTACAGAGCCAACGCCATTAGTACGTCTTTCTTTTTAAGATGCAATAATTATAACCTGTTAAAAATAAACAAGTTCCATGCCCAAACACTCAAATTCATCCTAAACTGATTTTATAGATTCTAGCTAAGAAATCATTTCTTTTATGTGTGTGTGTGTGTTGTTATAACAGCGGAAGTCACGCAACGCTGGAAGCATGCGCGCTGGAGTTTTTAAAAGGATCCTGACTTTTCCTGGCAACTCTAATCTGTTCCAGGTGCCCTCTTTTTTAGTATATAAGTCCGGCAAATAAAGCGGAGAGATAATTTGCAGCTAGATAGATATAGAGACAGAGGATCAAGTCAAGCGAGCAGTAGTCAAGTAAAGTGTGTAAATCGCTGTGAATTATAGCATGTGTTTATAAAAGTAGTTAAGTTTAAAGTGACTGT